CTGAGCTGGGGGGGGGCCGTGGGTGAGGAGCACCAGCCTCCTGACGGAGAAGATGACCCAGGGCTGAGCAGCCGGTCACCTCCTAGCCTGAGGGATGCACTCCTGTGCTTTGCAGTTTGGAGGAGGCAGTCTGCTGAGGGGGTGCAGGGCAGCAGCCTCTGGCTGCTGGTCTGCCTCTGCCCCCCTTGGGGACCCTGGGCCCTCTGTCCCCGGTTCACTGTCCCCTCCTGTCCCCAGGGCTCTCAGGGTGACTGCCTTGAGGGTGGCTGGTGCCCCCACTTTGTCAGAACCACCGCCTCACCCCAGGCAAGTCAGTCCCTTACATGCCTCAGTGTCCTCACCTGTAAAATGGGATAATAGCAGTGTCTGCTTCAGACCCAAAGAGAAGATTAAAATAAATCTCATGGGAAAGGGGTCTTCCCGGCCTGCCCTCCAGGAGGGATCTGGTTTGTCTCCTCCCTCCTTTGCTGGGGCCTCCTTAAGCTCCAGGCAGGGGCTGACCCCAACAGGGCCTGGGGATGCACCCACACTGTGCAGCTCGGAGTCCCTGTTCCTTCAGGATGTGGCCCCGGGGGGAGGGGCTGGGCTCTTAGGGCCGGGTTAGGGCAGAGGCTGTGCATGACAGCAGGAGGGGACCGTGGGCCCCCCACACTGGGGCCACCCCCTTCCCCTGTCTGGCTCCCTGGGCCAGGGATCTCCCTACTTCGGGCTGTGCCGGGGGACTGGGGACGGGGACCCTGCTCCAGAGCCCGAGCCCCTCCTGCGAGCCTGCCAGGAGGTCCAGGGGCAGGGAGCCTCCCCCTCCACCAGCAGCTCCCCTCCAGGTGCGCTCCATGGAACCCCGGAAACCCTGGCACGGGGAGGCTGATGGAGAGGGGAGGGCGAGGTGAATATGTCAGTTTATCCCAACACAAGCAGTGACCTGTTGGGTGGGGGGGAGCGGGAAATATTTGGGATGACTGAGCTGCTGGCCCTTTAAGGCTCCTGTAACAGGACACCTCTGGCCTCGCGCTTCCACTCTCCAGCCTGACTGTGTGTCCCCCTCCCTCCCCCTTCCCACGCTAGTCCCAGTTCAATCTGCTGAGCAGCACCATGGACCAGATGAGCAGCCGCGCGGCCTCGGCCAGCCCCTACACCCCGGAGCACGCCACCAGTGTGCCCACCCACTCGCCCTACGCGCAGCCCAGCTCCACCTTCGACACCATGTCCCCGGCACCGGCCATTCCCTCCAACACCGACTACCCCGGCCCCCACCACTTCGACGTCACCTTCCAGCAGTCCAGCACGGCCAAGTCCGCCACCTGGACGGTGAGTTGCGCCCCCGCTCCCAGGGGCATCTGTGGGGTGTGGGGTGGGAAGGGGCGATCGCCGCCCCCCGCCCCCGCCGGCCGTCTGGGCAGCGAGGGAGGGAGGGCCGGCCAGGTGTCCGCGCGGGGTTCCCGCCTGACCCACCGCCGCGGGAGGAGCATCGGGCAGGAGGCGGGTCTGGGGCTGGGCAGTCTGGGCGTGCCCACCCCTCGGACGTGAGGCCAGAGCCGCCGGGCTCCGCGGGGCCCCAGAGGGGCAGACGAGGCTCCGCAGCAAGGTCCACGGGCCCACGGGGCGGAGGCAGACCACCGGCGTCCCTGCCCCGAGGTGGGGCTTGAATCCTGTCCTGGGTGAGCGGGACGCTCGGCTCGCTGGGCTGCCTCCTCCAGGTAGTGCCATCGGCAGGGAGGTCTGGAGTCTGGCGGTTGGCAGGCTGGGGCTTTGCCTGCCCTGACTCTGCGCTGTCAGCTACGAGCATGGGTGAGAGACCGGGAAGTCAGGGGTGGGGGGTCCACAGCGCTGCAGACTCAGGTCTCGCCTCGCCCCCTGCACCCGCCCTGTGCTCGCCCTGCGCTCCGCAGCACTCTGGCCCCTGGTGGGAATTTCGCCGACTTGGATGGCGGCCGCGCACCCATGGCCTCCGCGGGGTGCTCTGAGTTTACTCTGACTCTTGAGATGGCCCAGCGACCCCCAAGGTAGAATCTGTGACCGTCCCATTTTACAGCCCAGGCCACAGGCTGCGGAGGGGAGGGGAAGCAGCTCGCTCAGAGTGACGCAGGCAGTAAGTGCTCGCCCGGACCCCGCGGCCGGGCTTCCGGGTTTGGGGGCTCTAGCTTCCTAACCACAGTGCAGCTGGGAGAGGACAGGGCTGCCGGACATGCCTGCAGGGGCAGGGGCTCTGCAGGGGCGGTGCGACCCTGGGACAGACCACAGGCTCCCCTCTGAGGGTAGGGCACGCAGGGCATTGCGGGAAAGGCAGCCCCAGGGGCACTCCAGGTCTCCTCCCCGCACGCAAGAAGAGGACAGTGAGCCTTGCCTGGCACCTGCCCTGGGGACGCCTAGCAGGTCCTGGCCGTGAGGCAGCGTCACCCCCTCCAGCGAACAGCAGTTCCGTGGTCTCCCCCAGCCCCTGGAAACAGAGAAGTCCACGCAGGGTGGCCGAGCACCAAGCAGGTGACCCCGAGGCTCTGCCGCTTTAATAATGGGGTCTCACGATCCCCACTGCCCCCTGGCCAGGTTGTGGTTTTCCCACACTCCTGGGGGGCCGGAGGGGGTGTGGATCCACAGGGAGACGGGTCTGGCTCTCTGCAGGGGCCAGTCCGGGTCTGGGATCCAAGGCACAGCGCCCCTGCGGCTGTCTCTGGTTCTCGCTCTGGCTGTGGGCCCCCAGCCGCTGACCCATCGCTGGCTGCCCTGAGCTGGTACCTCGTCCTCACTCGTGAAGCTTTCCTGCAGTGTTCCTTGTTGTTCCTTAGAGGAGATGTTGTCTATGCGTAGGAGCGGTGCGTCACATCAGTATTTCCTTAGCAGCAGGGCTGGGGATGGGGTGCCCTAGAGCTGGTCCTCCTGGGTGAGGTCATTGCGCAGCAGCTGTCCCTGCTGGAGGAGTCTCTTATTTCCTGTGGGGTCCTGGTCCCCTGACCCCAGATTTGAGGTTTGGCTGTGTGACTGTGAGCCAGGTCAGGAGGCGCCTGAGACATCCCACCCTCGCACACCTCTGGCGACAGGAGGCTCACTCCCTCCCCTCTCCCATGTTCATACTGTTCCCTAAGCCCTTTCTCTGGCCTCTCGGGCGAGGGTCCCAACCCCTCCCGCACCGATACTGTCACCAAGGCCTGAGCTGCCGGACCCCTAGGAATCTTGACAAGCCTTGGTGGGGGGGTCCTGGCTCTCTTTCTCTCTGCTGTTTGAGGATGCTGGTGGGGTCTCTGCAGTGTCTTGGGGGACTTGGAGTGGCTTAGATGGTCTGAGCTGGTCCTCAGGGAGAGACAGGAGCTGCCCCTCTGCCAACCGCCCCCCAGTTGCTTCCACCTTTCCTGTCAGAGGTGCAGCATCAGGTCTAGAGGGCCCATGGTGGGTCACAGTTGTCCGGCCCCACGTGGCCCCCTGGAGTGGTCCGTCCTGGCCAGCCATATAGGGCGGGGGTGGGGGGACGGGCAGGGGAAGGCTCACCTGTGCTCAGCGGCTCTGACCACCCCTCACCCCACCCCCCTGCCTGGGCCCTCTGCTCTCTCGCAGCTGTGCTGGTGGGGGGGGTGCAGCTGGCCCGCCCGGTTCCCCTCCCCAGCCCCCATCAGTGCAGGGGGTGCAGGTGGGACAGACATTGATAATGAGATTTTTGGCACCTTGGCTCTCTGGGAGCAGATCCCCCGCAGGCTCCTTTCCCTGCCCGGGGAGGGGGCGGGCGGGCTCACGGTGCAGGGTGGGGACTGCGGGCAGCCCGCCTGCTCACAGCTCTGGGGGTCTGGCTGTGCGAGCGCTGCCCAGACTTGCTTCCCGGGCGTGCCGTCTGGGCCTCCGCACCACGCCATGCGTGGCCCCCGCCATGCCGGCCGGCTGGTAACTGATAGATAATTCATATTTTTCTCAAGTACAATTCCAAACTGACTGTTGCCTTCACTCCTCTCCCCGTTCGGGAAAAAGGCCTCACCAGTCCCCACGGGATCACAGCTGTTAATGGGGTCTTTGGCCTCTGCCTGGCGAGCCCCCCGGCGAGTGCCCCAGCCCCAGGCGGTCCCTCTGCCCCCAGATCTCACATGCGCGCTCCTTGGGCACCGAGGGCAGCCCTGCGCTCACAGGCGTGTGCGCACACACGGACGCACACACACACACGGCACCTCACATGCGTGCACAGGTGTGCATGCTTCATGCACACACACACGTGCGCACGTGTGCAGGCCTCTGGCCGCTGCCCAGGGTGACAACGCCCCTTCCCCCACGGGAGGCCAGGACGGGTGGACGGGCGTAACCGAGCAGCGGGGTGGGGTGTGTTCAGCCTCCAAGATTCTAAACCGGGGACCAGGGACCGGACGGGGTGGGCGTGTGGCTGGTAGGGCCCAGGTCCCAGATCTGCTGTGGTCTGAAAGTGGGCTGTGGCCTGAGGGGTCAGTGGGGACAAGTGCCCTGGGTCCTGGGACCACTGTGAGCAGGGCCCGGAGCCTGGGGAGCGCCCCACGCGTGGCTGCTCTTGAGTCACCTGGCCGGGGCTTGTCCTGTGTCAGGGGCTTTGGGGTTCTGGGGGCATCAGGGGGTGACACACGCTGGGAGGTTAGGGCTGCGGGTGGGGGCTGGCTCCCCTGGGCACTGATGCTCTTTGGCCTGGTGGGCGGTGGAGCCCGGGCAGGGATGGCAGTGTTCATGCCTTTGTCCTTGTTCCCAAGCCCAGCACACTCCAGCCTGGCCTCTGGGCCCTGACGACCAGGCCCGTCTTGGGCCCCCCCGGCCCAGGGATTGGCAATGACACGGCCGGCCGGTCCCAGGAGTCCCAAGGAGCAGCCCAATGAGAGGGACATCTGGATGCTGTCCAGCCCAGCTCAATCTCCTCCAGCTCCTAGGCTGGGCTTTGCCAGGGGAGGGGACTGTCCTTGGGGTTTGGTAGGCTTGGGAGGGGGTTCTGAGGTCAGCCAAGAGGCTTGGTATGGCTGGAGCCCTGGCCCATCCGAGCAGTGTGAGGCAGGCCAGTGAGGGTGTACACGGGCGTGAGGGCTCAGCGAGTCCCGGGGGGGCCCCACACAGCCCACACAGCCCGCCAGCCTGGACACAACCCCCTGAGTAACCTCCAACTGCCCCACACATGACCGTGGGCGAGTGCCAGTCCGTCCGTCCTGGGGGCGAGCCAGCGCACACAGGGTGAGCGCCACCCTCCTGGCCGGAAAGGGTCCTGTGGAAGGCAGGCGGGGAGGCACAAAGACTCTACGCGGGGTTCCTGGTAGAATGTGGCTGAGTCAACACTAATGGATTTGGGAGAAAACTTTCCAGCCCCTCGGAGGTTTGCAAGCAGGAAAATAATAGTGGAGGTGTCCCAACACGATCACGGTATCAATTGCGTTATCCTAAAAGTTTATGGAATGCATAAGTGGAATTAATACCTTTTACTGGCACCTGAAGCAATTACGCGTATTTAAGGCCAGGGAAGGGCTCTAACAGTGTCTATTGTGGAGACGAAAAGAGGAGTAAGCCGGGGAAATTGCAGTGATTGCTTGCATTGTGGGGAGCTCCCGAGGCGGACCCGCTTACTGCAGGCTGGCCTGAGCTGGGCATCACCTCTTCTCTCTCCGGCCTCTGCAGCTGGAGCCCCAGGTCACAGAAGTTGGCCTTGGAGGCCCCACTCCCTGAGTCCTAGGGGCTGAGGGGTGCACCCGGGGCGGCCTCCACCTTCCCCCACCTGGGCTCTTGTAGGGGATGCGAGGGAGAGCCCCCTGGGGGGGGTAGGAGTCCATGGGTTTGGATGCAATCAGTGTTTTATGAAGAATCCTATTTTCTGGGACTCGTTCCCAAAATGGGTATGGCTCCATAGATTCTAGAATGTCTGTCTGGCGGTGCTGACTGTGGTGGAGCCAGGCCGGCACCCCCACCCCCAACCTGTGCGCGGGAGAGGGCCGCTCTCCCAGCAGCCATGATGGTGAGGACACCAAGGCTCAGGAAAGGCAGGAGGCGCGGGCGTCCTGAGCCCTGGCTTTCGTCAAGCAGCCGGTGGAGGGAGGCCACCTATGCATCCCCGTGAGTGTAGGGGCGCTCTGGGATGCCCTGGGACCCCAGGGAGCCACTGGGAAGAGAGGCTGACCCTCGGAGGCCCAGAGCTCCCGGGGCCCCAGGAGCCTGGATTCCTGTTTGCCAATGAGTGAGTGACAACTCCCACCGCAGGGGAGAGTCGGCCGCCTGCCTTCACTGCCGCTATAGATTGACAAATGACCATCCCTCAAGAGCGCTTTATGGTTAGAACACTCCCGGCTGACCAGCAGAGCAAGAAGGAGGGGCTGGGGCCGGGAGTCGGAGCGATC